TTTTTTTGAGACAGAGTCTCGCTCTGTCGCCAGGCTGGAGTGCAGTGGCGCCATCTCCGCTCACTGCAAGCCCCGCCTCCCAGGTTCATGCCATTCTCCTGCCTCAGCCTCCCGAGTAGCTGGGACTACAGGCTCCCGTCACCGCACCCAGTTAATTTTTTGTATTTTTCATAGAGACAGGGTTTCACATTGTTAGCCAGGATGGTCTCGATCTCCTGACCTCAAGATCTGCCCACTTTGGCCTCCCAAAGTGCTGGGATTACGGGCGTGAGCCACCACCCCTGGCCTTTACAGGCTCAAGTTTTAATCAAAGTTTGTCTATAAGATTACTTTATTCCTGCATCTTCTCCATTGTTTCTTCCTTGTATTTGCCCTTTTCCTTTACTACCTGGTGAGATTTGGCTTTCCGTTCAAGGATCTTCTTGCCGCCTTTGTCCAGTTTTAGCCTGGTGATAATCACCTAGGTCAATGCCTACGTGGACAGTTGTGCCGTTAGCCTTTTCCTGCTGCACCCGTTCAATGTAGATAACATGTTTCTTCCTGTAAACCTGGACTACTTTGCCAATTTGCTGACCTTCATAGTGTCCTCGCACAACCTGAACTTCATCATCGTTTTGAGTGGGCATGGATCGCAGGTGGTACTTGTGTCTCAGCTCTTTGGAAAGAGGGAAGACATAGAATCTTCCTGCGAATGTGGGAAGGTGCATTAAAATGCCTTTTGTGAGTCTTGCTTCGCTGGGAAGTCACAAAGGGACTGAACTTCATCTTGGTCGCTCCCGCTTCAGTGATGGCCGCAAAAGTGAAGAGAACTACACACTCCTTTTTGTTTATTTATTTTCTTTTCTTTTTCTTTTCTTTTTTTTTTTTAAAGACGGAGTCTCATTCTGTCACCCAGGCTGGAGTGCAGTGGCGCGATCTCCACTCACTGCAAGCTCCACCTCCCGGGGCCACGTCATTCTCCTGCCTCAGCCTCCCGAGTAGCTGGGACTATAGGTGCCTGCCACCGTGCCCGACCAATTTTTGTATTTTTTTAGTAGAGACAGGGTTTCACCGTGTTAGCCAGGATGGTCTCGATCTCCTGACCTCGTGATCCGCCCGTCTTGGCCTCCCAAAGTGCTGGG